AGCGAAAAAATTTTAAAAGTTTGAATTCGCGCGCTTTTACTCACCGGGCGGCCTAGAAAAAACCTCGTCCCTAAGGGCTTTCATCGTATTTTTCGATGCGTTTTTCTCGATGAAGGAATTTTTTTTTAATGTTTTCTTTATTTTTATGTCAATCTACATGCATTTCTGCACATTTTGATGCAATAAAAATTTCACCGTACACCACCTTTAAAAATTTCTTTTGTTAAATGATTGTAAAGAATCCATTTTTGAGTGTTTCAAGCTATTATTCGATAAAAATCTCTCGCGGTGAAAAAATATACCACGATTTTTCAAAAAAATGCTTCAAAGTCGATCTCCTCTTTCATTTTTTGTCGGAACTAGCTGCTTTTGTACTTAAAATGTGTGTTTTAGCCTGTTCAACAATTTCTATGGACGAAAATTTGGAAAAATTGTCGAAAAATGAGAAAATTTCGCTGAAATCCGGGTTTTCAGTGCAAATTTTTTCAAAAAAAAATTTTTTCGCCGCGCGCAACCGCGCTTCGCTGAGAAAAGTTCATTTTGGGAGCTGGGGAGACCGTGCATTTGAATTTTTTTCCTTTTTTCGGAATGTCCGTCTTTCAGGATTTTTTCGCTCCCCCGTTTTTTTGTTGTCAACAATGGAAAAAATTAACACATTTATATAAAAAAAACGGTCTGAAAATCGAAAAAAAAGGCGAAACTCAAAAAAATGTGGAGTAAAAAATCCGGAAACTGTAAATATTCGAACAATTGAAAAAAAAACCACAAAAAATGTTGAAAATCCATATTTTTGAAGACGAAGAACTTTAAACAAATCGATCAATTGCCCTGTTTGCTGACCAAGTTGAGCTGCTTCCGAAGATCGCGGATTGNGCCCTNCATAATCTCGACTCCGTCTACGAACTTCCCGGTCGGTCGGCTTCTACGTCTTCTGATTGCCGATGGAGTTATCTGGAATGAAGGAGTAATTGAAAAGAAATGAGCTGCCAACGTTGAGCTCAATTATCTCGATTCCTAGTAGAGATATCAAAGTTTTGTCAACTGATAAAATATTGGCGGCAATATGGTAAACATTTTATTAGTTGAAAGATTTTTGATATCGTGCGAAAGAAGCGTGACAATTGAGCTCAAAGAAGACATATGGGGTCGGTATACCGTAAACACTCTAATAGGCTGCCGCTTACTTTGAGCTCAATTATTTCGATTTCTAGAAAAGATATCAAAAATCTGTATGGTTACCATTTTATCAGTTTACGACTTTTTGATATCTCTTACAGGAACCGAGATAATTGAGATCAAAGAGTACCTTTGGGAAAGGCTTCGGTATACCGTAAATACTCTAATTGACTACCGTAAACTTTGAACCCATATATCTCATTTTCTGTGAAATATATCAAAAAGTGATAAATTGACAACATGTTGATAATATTATCAGCAGCATTTTATCAGTGGACAGGTTTCTGGTATCTTTTGAAGGAACCAAAATAATTCAGTTCAAATTTTAGACAATATGTCGTAAATACTCTGATGGAATGCCAACTTTGAACCTATATATCTCGGCTCTTATTAGAGCTATCAAAAAGTGATTAACTGATAAAATGCTTATCATATGAATAACAACATTTTATCAGTCAACCACTTTTTGATATCTCTTACAGGAACCGAAATAATTGAGCTCAAAGTGAACGCTAGGTTTCTTATAGGTGGTAAACGCTCATAGAATGTTGTCAACTTCAAACCCCTATATCTCATTTTCTGTGAACGATGTCAGAAAGTAATCAACTGATAAAATATTGGTGATATTATGATACACATTTTATCAGTGCAAAACTTTTCGATATCTGTTACAGAAACCGAGGTACATAGGCTCAAAGTTGTTGACTGTTTGGGAGGAAATTCAAGTTTAAGAACAGGATATCTACTTTATCAGGGGCAAATTTCTGAAATGGAACCAAATTTCGGCCATAACTAAACAAGATATATACTATACCGAAGGACATTAAAGTCCTTCGGTATAGTATGTTTTACGAACATTTAGATTTAAAAAAAAAACTCACAGTCCAGTATCCTGTCCCGTGCTCCCACTCCTCCTCAAGATCCCCAATTTTCTTCAAAAGTTTTCGAGCTATTTCGTGCCTGATATCGTACTGCTGCTCAATGAGCATTCGGATATTGTATTTTTCAAGGAGGTCCAAAGTGACCTGCGCATCGAGAAGATGTTCCATCGCGAATAGTTTCTGAAGAATTAATGAATTTTATTGGATTTTTGATTACCGTAAAACCTGTAATAGAAGGGCCCCCACACTGCCATCTTTGACAGGTATCGAGATAATTTAGTCAAAAGTTAAAGGGCCGTTTTATTACGGTATTAGAAACTTATTAACTTACGGTTTCCTCTACGGGTGATGTCAGAAGTCTGGCGTAATTGCAGACCATTCGCTCGGAGAGGAACATTGACATTCTGAAAACCAAGAAATTAAAAGAGAGAACAATACAAGCGAGAAGAGACCGTGGAAGACCTACAGTACTCAATAAGACATACCAAAACGAAGTTTTCAGTTGATTTTAGTCATTTTCAAAAGTCTTGAGCTCGGCTGTCCAGTTCCCAATCAAAATCTTTTTAATGATCTGATAATCAATTTTGAATCCTACAAATCTGTTCAAAAACCAATTTTCTAGCTCATCTAAAACTCGGGATACGGTCATTTAAAATTTCCATGGTTAGAGACGCGTGTGTCTCGTCGTCTGCGTCTCTAGTCTTCAAAACTTGAAGGCGCTCTATCTCGGTTCCTAGAAGCGCCAGAAATCTGATTTTTAAACAGAATTGTAGGGAATTTTGTCGATTTTATAATCCAAAGATTGATAGACAAAAATTGTCAAAGTGACCGAAAATCAACTGAAAACTAGGTTTTTGTATATCTTATTGATTGGTACAGTAAGTGAGAAATGGTGATGTGAAATGAGTAAAAAATGATGTTACAAGAGATTGTCAAAATGAGACATAAGAAATCAATAAGAAAATCAATAATCAATAAGACAAAGCAGGTGTGTTCACACTACCCGAGACCCCAGACCCACCTGGGAGAGTATATCGATCGAACAAAGTGCGAAGGGACTGGACGGAGGCTATGAGAATGTTGCGAATCGAGAAAAAACTAGAAAAAATAAACGGAAGAGAAATAAGGAATGTGCGAAACAATTGAAAAGTCCTTTTGGAGTTACGGTATGCAACACAGTACCGTAACCACTCCATTAGCATGACTCTCTAGCTTCCAACTTTAAGTCAATTTATCTCAGTGTCTCTGAAAGATAACAAAAAGTGGTCAACCGACCAAATACTTTTGATAATTTGATAAACAGTTGATTAGTTGACTACTTTTTGATATCTCATACAGAAAATCAGATACAAAACCTCAAACGTTCTTTTTTAAAATTTCTCGAGATTCGTGAGGTCTACAAAAAATTAATCGGGCAAAAAGAAAACTAATTGTCCGAAAATGCAGAAAAAAAACGCAAAAAAAGTATGGCGAGAAGGGGTTCGAACCTGCATCTAGTCGCCTACTGTGCATCCCTCCTCGCCACTACACCACTGCTCACTGTTTGTTTCCCTTCCCCCAATCTATATAAGAAAGAGGGGAGGCGCGGCGCCCTTAAGAGTCAAATTTGAGCCAAATTTGAAACTTGATTTTCTCGAAACTGGTAGCTCCTCAGCAAAATCTGAATACAGATTTGAAAATGTCTCATCCTCAGCTTTCGAATGATATAAGTTTCATACCAAAGTTGTTGAAAAATCCGGAAATTATGGAATGACTAGTTTTCCCAAATAGTCCGAATAGTTCTCCAAAAACATTGTTTTTTGAGAGGCTCCACCGCTTTTTTGCCTCTTCACCTTTTCACTAATCATCATCTCTTCCGGTATAATTTACCAATTTAGGACACCGCCTTTTTATTGACAGTACTCTATTGTCGGAATAAAAAAAATGAGACTCGGTGTTTGCGTACTTTGATTCCCGCCTCCCCACACCGACGCTCCGCCCATCGCTTTGCAAGTGCGGCGTGGTGTTTTGGCGCCCCACTTGGAGATCATATTTTCTATGAAAATCTCATTAAAGGTGGGGGGACAGGAGATTTTTCGTAGTTTTTTTGTAGCTAGAGTATGCATTCTACCGTGACGGTGTACAACGCTTAATGTCACTCTGCGTACAGCTGTCGTCCTCGCCTTTATGTATGCAATCGGGCGTCTGCTTTCTCTTTGCCCGCGTGGCTCAGTCGGTAGCGGCGCCGCACCCTCAATCATCGCTTTCACAAGTTCAACTCCTTGAGGGGCATATTTAAACGGAATTTCGAGAACATTATTTTTTTCATGTCCCCCCACCTTTAAATCCGATGATCTCCCAAGTGGCGCCAAAACACCACGCCGCACTTGCAAAGCGATGGGCGGAGCGTCGGTGGGGGGAGGCGGGAATCAAAGTACACAAACACCGAGTCTCACTTTTTTTATTCCGACAATACTCTAGTTAACAATATCTTTCCCAGGACACACTCTCCCACAGAACAATCCCGAACTGCAAATTAATTTTTGATCTACAGAAAAAAAGTTTGGCGCGATCACAATTGCAGGTCTAAAACCATAATTTCAGAATATTTTATCTGATTTTGTGGAGTTCCAAGATGATTCAAATGATTCTTAAAAAATTAATTAGTGGTTATAGAATCATGTATGGTCGTTTTCCGGAAGAAAAAATTGCAGTTCGGAATTTTTCTGTGGAAGAGCGTGCAGGAGGTAATATAGTCTCCAGTGCCTCCAGTCTTTGAAAGTTTCAAACATTGTAAATATCATTACTAATAACATTCACCAGATTCTGTATGTGCGTATGTATGTTAAGGCTTCCATTTCGGTCGGTCGAAAATTGACATTTATAAAAGTCTGAAGCACTGCTGTAGAGTTTCCGATCACTTTAAAAGTTAGATACATTTACAGGATTTTTTGAGAATTCCTAGGTTTTCAGCTATTTTCCGATTTCTGAAAAACATCCGTATTTGGTCAGTTTTTCACTGAAAACGTAAAAAAATCAGGTGTCTTTTAGAAATTGGATATTAGCTGAAAAACTAGGATCTTGGTGTGTTTTACACTGTTCTACATTCTCAAAGTGATTGGAAACTGGAAAGCCAAGCGACAGACTCATGAAACCGGTCAAACACAACTGAAAAATATGTTTCGTATATTTTACACACTGACAATGTACGAAATCTTCTTTTTTGTAGGCATCTTCTTCCTCTCTGCCAAATGCGATTCTAACAGATGACGTGACAAGTGAGTTTTATTTGAAAAATCTGAAATGAAAATCGCCTACATCGAATACTTTCAGATGAAGCAACGTTCTCCATTGCACCGCCGTCAAGAAGGATGGAATCAATAATGAAAAATTATCAATTGAGATGAAGCATTGTGACGAGAGTGGATGCCTTGACTTCTCTCAAAATGAAGTTAAATTAAGGGCCACAGGCAAAGAGCTGGACGATACAAGTAAGAACGCCAAATTCAATTCATCGGTTCATTCCACTTATTTTCAGTTTCATTCTTCAACAATCTGACCGCCCAGCTGAAGTATCCAAAACAAGGAGGATCGTATCAACAGCTATAAGAGCATCTTCTTCCGATAATATTTTTTCTATAATTTCAATTTTTTTAATGATTTCCTCACTCTCCATAAATTTGTAATTTTAATAATTTTGATGATTTGATGAATATAATTGGAATGAACTTTTAGATTTTTCAGAAATTTAGGAATTTTCAAAAGTTACAAAAATATCGAAATTCTTGATTTTTTTTTCAAGTTTCCTCAAATCTAGGCATGTTTAGGCTCGTATTGAAGCTTGGATCCTTCAAAATCAGAAATGAAGCTCAAAAATGAACAAAACTGCAATCATATGCTACTTACAAACCAAAGTCACCCAAAAGTTTAAAACTTGGGGTAATATGGTATGCTAGAACTCTTTTTAAACAATTATTTAAAAAAATCCATTCTCACTTCTTTTCGTTCAAATACGTCATGAAATCAAATCAATTTTATTCTTATCAGTGTTGAAATTTCCCGTTTTCCTTGCTAATTCTTAAATTGTTTGTCTCTTCTCTTTTCAATTTTCTTTTTTTTTCAATTTCAAAAGACCTCATTTTCATCTTATCAATTCAAGAATTATCAGAAAACTGGGCACTAAAAACTTTTAGTTATTATTTTCTGAAATATCAATCTTTCTTCTTACATAAATCAAAATCGGAAAACTGAAACTTCAAAATGCATGATTTCTGATTTAAAAATTTACCTGTGATTCTCAAAAACTGTCTCAAAGTATCTAATTTTGAACTTTTTTTGAATAAGTTGTGCACAAAAATTGCTAATCACTGAATTTCTTATCACTCCCTTCCCCCACTTTTTGGTTACACAGTTCTCTTTCTACTTTCTACGTTTAACATTGATATTATCAGTTTCGCTCTTTTTCCTATATATTTTTTCTCAATTTTCAGCTTTTCCAGAAAACATTTTTTTTCAGATGACTGAAAGAGAATTCACTCTGAAACATATATTCACTGATGTTGAGAAATTTGAGAAATATCAATATCTCTATAGTCCAGAAAAAGAACATTTTGGAGTCAAATGGTAGGTCTTATTTCTCATTTTTTAAATTATATTTGTATGTCAATTCAATTGCAGGAAAATATGTATTAAAAAAATGAACGAACACCTCGCAATGTTTTTATACACAAATGTGACGGGAAATCAAGAAATTCACACTAATTATATCGTGAGAATATTCTCGAAAAACCGGGAAAAAAATCATTCAAGTCTGGGAGTAGATTATTCAAAAATAATGGGTACGGCTGGGGTTGGCCCTATTTTATTGAATGGAGAACTTTGGAAGATGAATATCTGGATGATGGAAAATTGGAAGTGGAAGTTCATGTGAAAATAAACAAAATGGTTGGCTTTCCGGAAGAAATTATCGGATTTCCCAGAAAAGGCCTACAAAGTTTCGGAGAGGAAATGAAACAATTCTCCGATGTCACATTGAAAGTAAAAGAGCGGAAATTCTATATTTCGAAGTTGGTGAGTCATTTTTTCAGTTTTTGATTTTCATCTATTCAACTTTTTCAGTACCTCTCCTCTCATTCTCCATATTTTGCAACTTTATTTTTGGGAAGATTTCAAGAATCTGAAAAATCAGAAATCGAATTAAAAGATGTCAATCCTCAAGACTTCCAATACTATCTTGAAGTTCTACATCTAGAAAATGCAATTGACGGTGGGTTACTGTACTTACCGTATATTTTGAAAAGAGCAATTTCAGATGATACTGTCCAAGGAATTTTATCAGTGGCTTATTTGTTCGACACTCCTAAAATTGTCAAAAAATGTGAAGAATTTTTGGTGAAGGAATCAAAAAAGGGATTGAAAGAAAAGTTGGAAATGGCTGGAAGTTACAGGTTGGAAGAATTGAAAGTGAGTGTTCAGAAGATAATTTTAATCTGAAAAATTGATATTTTCAGAAAATGTGTCTGAATCAGATCAAGTCAAAAGCGGATATTAGTTCAGTTATTCCAGCGGATCCCATGGAAATGGACCCAAAAATTCTTGCAGAACTTTTCAAAAAAGCACTTGTTTTCAATTAAATTATTGTTCTTTGTCGCAATTCATTAACTCTTTTTAACAACAAAAATGTAATTTCTGTATTAATTCAAATTGTGATAATGCTCAAGTGTGATAATTTACATAAACTTTTATCAACAATGAAAAAAATCAACAGAACAAAATAATTTTTTATCATCTTTTTCATGTTACAACAACTAACACTTAGCATTAAGAAACTTGTATTTTTTCTCTTGCTATGATTAAAACACAAAAACATCCTTAGAATTTTATAATAAGCAATGGGAGGTGGAGAATATTCTTCCTCATCTCTATTTCGTTCATTAAAACCAGTTTCTTCTTGCTAAGTGTTAATTTTCATTTAAAAAATATTACAATTTCTTAGTCTTAACTCTTTTTTATACAAAAATTTTCTTTTTCATTTCGGGTTTGAAAACTAAAATATATCGGATTCTTTTTTGCTTAATTATTAAGTAAGAATTAAAAAAATTGTCTTTCGATATAGCGTGTTTGTTAATTCCTTTCGCGATAATTGTTTTTTTTTTCTTCAGATTCGATGACTGAAAGAGAATTTACTCTGAAATACGTGTTCGAAAATGTTGGGAAATTAGAAAACTGGCAAGCATTATATAGTCCCAAAGAAGAGCATTTTGGTGTAAAATGGTAAGTAAGGCTTCCATTTCGGTCGGTCGAAAATTGCCGACCGCCGACCGACCACCGACCCAGCCAACCGACAGCCGACCGAGCTGACCGATCGGTCGGCGCGCCAACCGTTCGAGTGCATTTGCGCGTCAAGGTGTATGCGTACGCTGCATCGCATTTTACGACGCACGATTTTTTGAATATTCAAGGATTAAAAACTGTTTTATTAGAAATTTAATTCATATTCACTGCAGTAAAAAGCTATAATACTAAAAAAATAAAAGATTTTCGAGATGAAGGAAGAGTCGTTGGATCAGGATATGACACAGGTTACGGAGACCACAACTGAATCGCCGTATTCTTCTTCGGATCGATTTTTGTAGAATATTTAATACCTGCATGATGTTGTTAACAAAAACTTCTGATCTTTATTCTAAAAAAGGAAAAAAACGGAGAAAATCATCAAAAGAACCAATATTGAAAAAATCGTGCGTCGTAAAATGTAATGCAGCGCACGCATACACCCTGACGCGCAAATGCACTCGAACGGTTGGCGCGCCGACCGATCGGTCAGCTCGGTCGGCTGCCGGTCGGCTTGGAAGGTGGTCGGTCGGTCGGCTGAATTTGCCGATCGAATGGAAGCCTTAATGTATGTAGCGCACCTTATCACCCATTTAAACTTAACCGATCAAGCTGAAACCTGGACAGATAGATCAGAATTGTGTCTTAGTTGATGCCCGAACTTTTGGTTTTTCGAAATTTTGATTTTGGACTCTTCTGGAGACGTTCCTTGGTTTCACCTCAGTAAAGGGTGGTGGGCAGAAAAGCGATGGTCGAAGGCGACCAGAAGCCAGGAGGTTTAGCCCCAAAGGGGCCTAAACCGGCTGGTATGTTTTAAATTTACAATTTCAGAATATTTTTTTGGGAATTTTATCTTTCATTAAACAAATCACACTTTACATAAAAATATTTCAATTTGAGGTAGAATCCAAAACTATCAAAATTTGGAAAACAAAAATTAATAGGAAAAAAGAAGGTTATCATAGGTTAGGTTATCACTGGACGAATTGTATAGTTTTTCATCGGATTCATCGGATTCCATCAGGCTCATTTCTTCTGGAGGTGTCGGTTGGAAATATGGATCATTTTGATAATTGGTTGAAGGATCCGACGATGGACAAAGGGTGAAATTTGGGAGGTATTCTGAAAATAACAATTTTGAAAAATTAGCTGATTTCAATTTTAACGAATTTTCGAAACTTTTTGAAATTTTCAATATTTTAGAAATTTTTAATTACAGAATTTCCGAATTTCTGAATTTCCGAATTTCTGAATTCTCTGAATTTCTGAATTTCTGAATTTCTGAATTTCTGAATTTCTGAATTTCTGAATTTCTGAATTTCTGAATTTCTGAATTTCTGAATTTCTGAATTTCTGAATTTCTGAATTTCTGAATTTCTGAATTTCTGAATTTCTGAATTTCTGAATTTCTGAATTTCTGAATTTCTGAATTTCTGAATTTCTGAATTTCTGAATTTCTGAATTTCTGAATTTCTGAATTTCTGAATTTTCGAATTTCTTAATTTCTGAATTTCTGAATTCTCAGATTTTCAAATTATCAGATTTTCGAATCGTTTATTTTCCAAATTTCCGAATTTTAAGAAGCTTTTTAAATTTTTCACGTTCCTAAAGTCTCAATAGAGCGCACTTACCCATGATCTTCTCCACTTCCCTATCTTCCTCATTGCTCATTTTTCGCTGATTTTTCGGCTCCACATCCTCCATTATAGTTTCCAAATCATGCTCTTTTTCGGTTTCCTTTGATGGAAATGGATTTTCTAAAATTTCAATCACCGATTGACAGTGATTCAAAGTATTCGAATTTGGTTCTGAAAAAAAATAAAATTCAGTATTTTGAGGTTCAAAATGTACTCCAATTCGATGTTTGGGTTAGAAAATTCAGACTTTGGTTGAGAAATTATGATTTTTCAGCTTAAATTTCACTATTTTGGCTGGAAATTCAGGCTTTCGAGAATAAATTTTTCGAATTTTAAATCTGAAATTACTCAAATTTTCACCTTTCCTCTGCCCATCCTTTTCTTCTCGTTCCTTAATTAACGGTAAGAATTTTCGCTCGAAAATTCTCTTCCTTCTTCTCTTGATTTTCTCTTTTTTCCTCATCCGATCCTCTTCGGTTTCCGCTGGCAACATGCCTTGAAGTTCGCGGATTCGTTGAATCGCATATTGAAGAATTTTCACTTTTGACACTCGTCGAGTGGGTTTTGGCACCATATGGAGGATTTTTCTGAAAATTCGAAAATTTTAAAATCCACTTTCATATATATAAAGCAAAAAAACAAAAAAAGGAATATCCCAGGCGGGGGGTCGAACCAAAAACTGTCGGCTTAATAACCAACAATGTATACCACTAGACCATGTGCACATTTAGAAAACAGGGAGAGAACGCGATTGTAATACAGAGCGCGCGGCGAAAAACTAGTTTCTCATTTTTATAAATCAAAAAAAAAAATATTTGAGGAAAAAATTCACGTGTCGGAAAAAATAATATTTTTAAAAAATATTTCTAAATTAAAAGTGAAAAAATAGAGCAAAAAGATAAGAATCTCCCAGGTTTTTTTGTATATAAGAGAAAAGAGAAGCAGTGAAAATCGTCAGTTCTCGAGTTTCTGCTGGAGAGCTCTGGGAGCTTGAGCCCTGGGAGCTCGAGCTCTAGGAGCTTGAGCCCTGGGTTCTTGAGCTCTGGGAGCTTGAGCCCTGGAAGCTTGAGCCCTGGGTTCTTGAGCCCTGGGAGCTCGAGCCCTGGAAGCTTGAGCCCTGGGTTCTTGAGCCCTGGGAGCTCGAGCTCTAGGAGCTTGAGCCCTGGGTTCTTGAGCTCTGGGAGCTTGAGCCCTGGAAGCTTGAGCCCTGGGTTCTTGAGCCCTGGGAGCTCGAGCTCTAGGAGCTTGAGCCCTGGGTGCTTGAGCCCTGGGAGCTCGAGCTCTGGGAGCTTGAGCCCTGGAAGCTTGAGCCCTGGGTTCTTGAGCCCTGGAAGCTCGAGCTCTGGGAGCTTGAGCCCTGTGAGTTTGAGACCTGGGAGCTGGACTCTGAGCCCTGGAACTGGAGCTATCGGAACTGAAGGTTATGGTCCTGAAGCTGAAATCGGGACAGCTGGAACTAGAGCTGTTGGCGCCAGACCTGGATCTTGGAATATATCGACAACTTCATAGCTTATCTCGATGATTCAGCTAAAAAGCTTCTACACAGACAGTTAATGGTGGTTCCCAATTTTCCCAACAAAAAACGCTGGAGTATTTTTAACATTTCGAATTCTACGAATACAAGTAAGTTACTGATTGATATCGATGTATCATTCTTCCTCTTTTAGAAAGCCACAGCAAGCTGTGAATCAACGTCGGGCATTTTTCATTCCTAAGTTTGCTATGAAAGGAAACTGAATCAAAGTGTACTGTAGCTTCGGAAAAGGACATGAGGACAACAAGTAGTTGTTCTGGTTGGATTATGGCTTTGGAAAAAAAAAGAAAATTGAGCACAACTTTGAATCATACATTTTATATTAAAAGTGTTCCCAACTCTGAGAACTTTGTCATCACCATAAGTGTAGGAAGTTAAGCTCAATTATCACGCTTCTTATTAGAGATATCAAAAAGTTGTCAACAAATAAAATGTTGATAATATTATGATAAACAAATTATCCGTTGATGATTTTATGTTAACTTTCACAGCAACCGAGAACAATTGGATCAAAGTTGATGGTCAGGAAAACCGACTGTTGCTGTATCCATGCGCCGTTGAACATTTTTCAAATTTCCTCGATTTTTTGGATTTTAAGTTTACTCTGAAAACTCACTTTTTGAGCTCATGATAAGCGGAGTTCAAAGTGTGAAGACGATTTCTTTCCCGTTGATTTCTTCTTAATTGACTCTCAAGTTCTTCGCCTTCGAGAGGTGTGGCAGCCATCTGGCAGAAGAAACTTTGAATTCTGAATTTGTTTCGAAATTTTTGATAAAAAGGAACATATAATTTTTGAAGCAATTAGAACAATTTTCAGAAATATCAAAAAAAGTAACTTTTTAAAATCAAGTTGTATGGGAAGCGAAAAAACGGGAGTTTTCTGAAAATCAAAAGTTTATTGGAATTTTTGAACTAATTATGAAACTGTTTAAAGTTTATATTTAAAGTTTTTTGATACTTTTTTGAAAATTAAAAAAAAATTCCAAATTTTCAAAATTCCAGAACTTTAGAAACTTTCAAGTTTTTGCAATAGTTTCCAATTGATTCCAATTAAAGGACGATTGGAAAAATTCGAAATTCCGATCAACGGTGCATTTCAAAATTTGCAGATTTCAAAATTGAAAAAATATTGAAACATCTGGAAATTCGAGAATATGAAAATCTGAAGATGAGAAAACCTGGAAATTCAAAAATTTGAAAATTGCAAACATTCGATAATCAAA